GAACCTCTGAGTGTGAGTGTATCTTACCTGGAAAGTAAAAACTGGGCCTGGGCTTTGTAATTCCAACCAGATGATTAAAAGCCATCCATTTCTGATGGAGAGTAAGATGGTGGAGCTAATGGGGCAACATCCTGTAAAGCAGGGGACTGCCTGCTTACTTGCTCAGGGATTATCATCAAAAGAGAGTAATTTTGTTCCAAACTCTGTCAGCATGTGATCTTTTTTTTAAAAGTTGCTGCTATCCAAAGATGTGATAAATACTTTTATAAATAACTAATTTATAAATATAATTGTTATAAATAACCTATTTGTAACAGTAGGATAACAACATAAGATTAAATTCCGCTGAAATTCTTTTATGTTTGTGGTGTCTCAGTGTAGCTAGAGAAATATGAACTGCCCCACAATTCACTTTTAATTTCCTTGAGAAAATTGATACCACATTTTGAAAATAGGGACACCTCTGGGTTTCTGTCAGACAGCTAAATTTCAGCCTATCCTTGACGTGGGCAAATATTATCCAACGTGAAATTTTTAGGTGTATACAACATTGAAAGAAAGGTCTTCTGCTTTAGTACCCATGCAGTATAGATTTTAAGCACACACTTTGCTCACATGTTCAGCTGCTAACTAAGTTTAAGAACAATGTCAGTGATGAAACAAGTGGAGATAAGTTGCTTCTGGTTTAGTTAAATCCTGCCAGAATAGAAAAATATAGATTAAATCAAATTAGAGTTTGTGTTAGGTTTCAAATCAAATGAAAAAGTATACAGTTTTAGAAGGATTTTATTTGATTTGGTTTTTCCACAGCAAAACTAACCTATTTAAGAAACAGAGTAATTTCAATCTCTAGCTATTTCAAAATACGATTAAGATAATATAATTCAGAACATACCCGTATTCAGATTAGCAGTGGATGTGTCCCATGGAGATACTGGTTAGACCCAGCCTTGGTTAGCTTAGGAAGCCTGAAGGGCGTGGTGCAGGTGGGGTAAGTATGAGCAGTTCTGGGGTTATTCAAATGAAGGAACCCTGCTTTAGAAAAAGCAGATGCTTGAGCTAGATCAGGCACTAGGAGTCCAGCTTACCCAGGAGAATTTTGTGAGCCCATGATACTGTGCAATAAATGTCATAGACTCCCAGTCTGAACTAAGGATGAAAAAGCAGATGCAGAAAGTGAAATGCATATGCAGAACATTAAGCTATTGGCTTATTTTGAATATAACAAGTAGTTTTCCTACTATACAAGAAATATCAATAACATATTTTGTTGTTTTAATTCCAGGGTGATGATCCTAAGGAGACAATTTGTGTATGTGTCAGCAGTTCAGTGTTGGATTTGATCTGATGTGATTTTGTGAGCATTAAACTGCATTATTACAGTAGAGAAATATTTTACACTTGGGGAGAAAAAGAGGTGATTTTTTCACACAGTGACTGCTACATTTCTGAATTTTGAGTAATCATTTTTTAAAATACAACATAACATTTATTTGGGAGATTCTGAAACTCTTGACTATTGGTTTAATTGTAGCAAAGCACAATCTCAGAATGATGGCAATATGTGATCATCACGTTTTGCTTCTTAAAGTATCATTAAAATATTTTGACATAAGATCTCTGGGTTTGTTAATATCATGTAATACAGGCAATAGTCTCTGTATGGTAGCTGCATGAGTTGGCAGTGAACCTTTTCAGTTAAGAACTTGATCCTGTAAACACTAGCATTTGTCTACATGAGAAAGGTGATGAGAAGAGCTACAGAGGAGTAATTAATTCAGAGCTGTGTCATTCTTAGTTTGTCCCAGGGTGCACAGATGAAAAAATCCCTGAGGTTAGAGATAGTCAAGAGTTTTATGGGCTTTCATTTTGTGGGCAATAGATAACGCTGTGAATTTAATGGGATCACTCATGTGAATGATGTTAATTTTGTGAACAAGTGTTTGAAGGACCAGAGCTGTATAATTGTTTTTAAACCCCTCTTCTTGCTTGTGTTCCTGTCTAAGGTCCAGTTCAGCTCCAAATGAGGACAATAAACTCGGTTCCATGCTGCATTCCCCAGAGTCCTGATAGGGCTTGACTTTGCACACATTCCTGCAATCCCAGCTGTGTATCTGGCTGACATACGAGATGGACCATTCATTAGAAAAATGATCAGTACCAAACCCATAATTTCTTCAATTTCTTTTTCACCTAGCATAGCTCGTATCAATATTTGACTACAGGTAAGGAAACTGCACTAAGCATTGTTAGAAGAATGTTCCTCTTACAAGCAACTCCACGCTCTTCTCCTATACCAGGACATATGAGAAAAGAACGTACAATTACTTAATTTAAAACCCATACAGTTCTTGTGCTTCAAGTTTCCATATGGTCCAGGAATACCTGTGGATCAACATCCTGTGACAAGTGAGATATCAGCCCAGTGGAAAGAATCATATAAACATTTACAGAGGCTACGACAAACAGCTATGTTGTTCCCCTAGCTATGGCTGCTTGTATGTTATTGCTTATATGTTTTCCTGCAGGAAAAAAATGAACAAAACAAACAAAACCTCAAAAAAATTGTAATAACCAGTTTCTGTTAAAGGAAGAGTTTCAGTGGCTTTTTTGAGAGTCTATTGAATGATCGGTTCAAAGATGGAGTGTCCTCCTTCTTTTACAGTCAGATTTTGTTTACTAAAACTCCCTTTGCCACTGTAGCATTAAATCCCCAATCAACTGATTTAAAGAGCATTCAATATTCCACTCATGGAGGATTATATCTGCAAAAAAAATCCTACTTAAATGAATTGAACCTTTTAAAATAAGGTTCAAAAAACTTTTAAACTGTTACTTTATAAGAGCATTTCTGTATTGCAATATTTGAAAGCTTACCTTGCAGCAGTTTTATAATCACATAAATAATCCTGAAAGTATTAGAACCACTTGTTATGGTTTGAGGTCTGTTAGTTGAGACACATTCAGCATCCTGATCCATTTCCAAGATAATGATATCAGAATCCAATGCTACTCCTACCCAAGCAGAAGTCTCCATAAATCCTGGCTGCATGTATCAGCAATAAAGTCAATTTTTGCAAAATAATGTTTTTAAAAAGTAGGTAGTATGTTGGAACATTGAATGACACCACTAACAACGTGAGTGGACCTCTGAATATCCATAAGGCTTTTAACAGAAACAAAGACATCAGAACTCAGTCGATGGGTACATCTGCATTACCAGCTGGTGACTGAAAGAGGCAAGCACGAGGGTTTGATTTACTGTGATCTATTATGGTTCCAGCACCACAAATCCACATTTTGTCTTCAGCAGCAGTGAAATTTGTGCCAATTCCTGGCCATAGGCATCTGCTGCTTATGGGCAGAGAGCTGGCTGTTTGCATCCATGTTACGATTGTTATGGATGATTGCCTACTGCAAGACCCTAGTTATAGATCAGAAACAAATTTGCTCACAAAAGTTCCTCTCCTATGCCATGTAGACTGTCCTTGAGCGTTGGTAGTTGGAAGCTGTGCAAAGTGATGTGGTTGTCCTTTGGGTGATGCAAATGGCCTAGGCTGAGGAGAACCACATCATACTTCATCCAGAGAGACAAAGAACACACCTGTGTTCAGGCAAAGACTGTAACTGATTCCAGTCTAGTGTAGTGCAATGGTCTTGGCTGTGTAACACAGGTTTGACTTGGAAAAATCTTTTAGAGATTGAGAGGACTTCGTATTGTATCTAGAACAATTGCAAGTGCTTTGTGCATATGTAGAGGTGATGCAAAGGGTATCGTTCATTGCTCGGATTAAATTCAGTCAACTACTCAGCATGAGTTAAGTGGCAAAAGCTGGTTGTGTGTAAGCAGAAGGTGTGGGGAGGAGAAAATGAAATTTATTTGCAGTGGAGAAGCAACTTTTTGCAAAACCGTTTGTTAGTTAGCGCCGTATTGCATTATCTCAGTGAGTAAATGTATACAGTCATCATACACCATAAAGAGCTTAAGTTACTGTGTGTCTGGACTGTTTCTGTGCAGCTATTTTATTACACATGTATTAGTAACTGGAAGGGTTATTGGCATACATTTTAAGAGAGGTTTAGATGAAAAGAAGAAACCTGTTCTAGTTTCCTTCACAAAAAGAGGTCTTAACTGAAGGAGTGTGATGTAGCACTCACAAATGAGAGCAAACAGAAAGCTCTGTATCATGGACAGACACTTTGACTTTTTAGTGCTGTTTCAGCGAAGTTTAAACTTGCCATTGACCTGACGACCTGACCCTCTATGTTCTGAAAGCTCCCAGTGATTTGTGTGGAGCACAGGACTGACAAGAAGTGCATGGAAGAATTGCTAACCTTTCCTACCCTTTCCTACAAATACTCTTAACTCCTCATAGGATAAAAATGCGCTCTTGTTAGACTTTAGATGAAGAACCTATTTTTAATGTAGCTTTCCCAGGCCTTGCTCCAGACATGAAGACATTATGAGATGTTAGTTGCATCCAGTTCACTCCACAGGAGTGCAGACCTTGTACTCAGCTTTATTATAGCTGCTGCTGCTGTGTGCTTGGTGGCTGGGTCGTGTTAATTTGTGCACAGGCTGGGCAAGTCAGTAGTGGCGGTTCTGTGTGGTAGGGTACAGTTAGACTGACCAAGGCTTGCCAAAGTACACTCACTGTGGGAAAAGATGTTTTCTTGGGTAGCCAAATAAATTATTTCTCACTTATTTTACATCTGAGCCAGGTTAATGATGAATAAATGGATTTTGTACCTCGCTGGTAACGTTTATGACACTTCTGCAAGACTGAGCCAAGTGCAGTTTTGATTAAGGATTCTTGACCAAAGCTTAGGAAGGGCCCTTCAGTCCTCACATGAGGAATAATCATTTTTAGGGTTTGTGGGCCTCCAATGCTGTCACATGCTGTGCAGTGAATATTGAGATTAAATAGTTTTCTAAAGATAGAAACACTGACAACATGCTAATAGTTCCACTGTACCTTTGCAGAGGCTGACAGTGCCCTTGCACATGACTGCTTCACAGCACCGTTAGATTAAAGCCTGCTTGACTGCTTTTATTTCTTTTTCTCCTCTGAATCTTTAATGTTGCATCTTCCTTTAGGATCCAGCGCTGCCTCGAGTGTGTTGTTTCTCTTCCCCAGGTGGGGTGTTATGTAGTCCTGTTTAGCGTCTGTTAGGGAGCCTGCGTGGCTGTGAATCAAATGCTGCTATGCCTGCAGCATAGTCAAACATACTTTAAACAGCTCGGTTTACATCTCAGGGAAGGCAGCATGGTGGGAGATTCATGTGGCCTAACTGGAGGTGCGAAATTTGGGCTGTAGCTCCACGGTGACTTAAGCTGTAATGGCTGGCTACACAGTCCAGTCCTGGTTCTTGCACTCCACCCCTTCCTTCGTGCCGTCTCCAGCTCCTGTCTGATCCCACACTGAGCCAGCAAAAACCTCACATGGCCGCAGGGAGAAACTGGTTCACACCAGCAGAGCCAGGGGAATTCCAGAGTCAAAGCAAATGAGGGGGTGAGACCACGCAGGTGGGACTGCAGGGACTCAGCGCGGGCTGGTTGTTACCTGGTGGCTGCTGGGCGGGCCCGGCGGTCGCCTGATGCCTCAGTCGGGTCAGGAAGGTGCCTCTCCAGGGGCCTCCCTGGCCAGGGGGGAGACGGGCTCCTGCCAGGGCGGTCGCAGCATGGCGGCTGTTCTGGTGGGCAGGAGCCCATCTCTCCCTGTGGTGACAGAAGGCCCTTAAGGACTCTGGGTACCTACACTGGGTGATTATTGCTCTTCCTTCTCTCTTTCCCATTACAGCCATTTTAACAAGCTGTTCACCACCGTCAGGTTCAGAAATGGTAACTATAAAAAAAACCCTTTGACTGTAAATACTGTTTCCCAGTTCACTGACAGTAAACTTGCATAAATTCACTCGTTATTCATCATGCCTATGCTTTCAGTCTCAGCTAATCCTAGCATCTCAGAGAACAGAGCTGCACAAGGTCTGGTGGTTTTGAGACCAGTTAATCTCACTTTGATTCTCTTTCCTTTGTACGGTGGTGAGATGTCTGACGTATTTCCATGCCTGAGTCAAGATGAAATTCTCTGTCCTGTGTGATTCAGGAGAAGAAACTAATTTATCTAGGTGACCTAGCACCTTCAGTGGGCTCCCCAAATATTCCTGTTGTTATGTATGATTTGATTTTACCCAGTGCAGGTATCTGGATAGGTGAATTGGTCTGGCTTAATTGACCACTTCGGCCTTGAACCTGCACAGACTCCGTGGTGGAGCTGCAGCCTGACATGGCAATCTAAGTTTAAAAAATGTTTGACCTGGAGATCTTTCTCTGTCGTGTCACTTGCTCTCATGTGACGAATCTGCGGAGTGAGAACGTAGCAGTAGCTCTTCCAGGGACTCTCAGGTCCACAAAGAACATGTCCATTTGTGTACAGGAGTCTGTGAGATCAAGCCCAAGGAATATTCTGTGGAGTGCTTTATTCTGAAACGGCTTTATTTCAAACAGCTGATAGCCACTTGTCGCATGCTCTGAAGCAGTAGGCTTCTTACACATGAGCTTGTTAGT